CGCATTGTCTAACTCACAGTGACTGGTGTCTCTCTTTCTGTTTTCTTTCCTCCTACATGACTTGCTTCAGTCTGATGAAGGCGAATTGTGTCAAGGTATTACGATGATTAGACTATTTTTTCATACGCGTTACTTATCTTATAAACAGACTGCTTCAATATCAGTATCGTTTCATCAGAAGTTAGTCAGTGATCCTTGTCCAATGAATCGTCTTGAGCTAAATATACTGTTAGTTTCACTTTCAAACGCAAACGTGATTCACTCGAACTAATTCGTTGTCATAATTCTTATATCATAAATAGGCACTCAAGTTAAAACTGAGTAAAATATTTATATGCCTTGGACTATGTCTTTTCTCTGGTTATCTTGCTCGTCTTCCCACATTTATATTAGTTTCTAGAAAGATACTTCGTTTAACTTTGTATGTAAGTAAGTTTATACAATATGGTATCACTCAGTTTCTACTTCTATTATTATTATTATTGTTTCCTTTAATTCCTAGAGGAACATAGGGCTTCAGCCGTGCGTCTCCATTGCGTTCGGTTCTCTGCTAGAGTCTTCACCTGGCTCCAAGTCTGCCCACACGTTTTCATCTCCTCTTCACATGACCTCCTCCAAGTCACCCTTGCACTGACGACCGACTCGCCGCTTCCCTTTCGGGTTCCACTCAAGCGATGGCTTGTCTAGTGATGTCACTCACTTGATGGTTTGTTTTCTCAGAGTATGACTAACCAATCCGCCTCCATTTCTTCCTGCCTATTTGTTTCACAATCGGTTCCTGCTGTGTTGGTTCGCTCCCAGAGATCCAACTCTGTTGCTGATCTTTTCTGGCCGGTCATCTGATCTTGAGTATTGAGCGAAGACAACTGTTAATGAAGGTCTGTAGTTTGTTTGAGATGCTCTTTATGATGCGCCAAGTCTCTGATCCGTATAGTGGCACTGAATTCACATTGGAGTTGAAAATCCGGATCTTATTTTTGATGCTGAGTGTTGTTGACCTCCACACAGACTTGAGAGTAGTGAAAGCTTGCCTTGCTTTTCCGATCCTCGCTGCTTTGATATCCTCGTCAGTTCCGCCTGTAGTTGAGACTATGCTTCCCAGGTGGGTAAAAGAGGTTGTTTCTTTCAGGTTCCTTCCATTTATGCTGATTGTTGTCTGTTGTTGTCATTACCTCTGCTTTCTGTATGTCCACCTGAAGTCCTATCTTCTCTGGATGCTTCTTCTGCCAACTAGTTGCTTTCCGCTTGCATATCTTCCAGTTTGTGGGAAATCAGACATATATCATCGGCGAAGTCCAGATCCTCGAAGTTTTTTGAGTGAGTCCATTTTATGCGTTTCCTCATTGCCCGCTGTTTGTCGCATTATCCAATCTACTGCAATCAGGAAAATCATTGGTGATAGTAGGCAGCGTTGTCTTACTCCTGTCCTATTATTATTATTATTATTATTATTTAATCCTTTACGTCCCCAGTGGAACATAGGGCTTTAAGCTAGAGGCCTGAAGTTTCAGTAGCAGTGGTGTTTTCACTTTTACGAGATGGATTTGCTAGCCTCATGACCAACCTCCCTCCTTTTGCCAGTCTTATTAATGGCACAGTGAGGGTAAAGGAGTGCCTTGTCGGTGGCCAGAGATCGAAGCCCGAAACACGTGAGGAATGGTTAGAGAGCATTCTACAACTGTGCCACCAACGCAGGTTCCTACTTCTACAGTGTGTTAATTCTTATTCTCCACCCAATTCTTCTTCTTCACTACTCTCCGCAGCTTCATCTTTCCTGACCTGCTTAAGTAAGACTTTTACGCACTGGAAAGGGCATTTTAAAAGCTGTTTGTAGGGTGAGTGAGTTGTCGCTAAACCAAGTAACTCGCGCTTATATAGCTGTGCACAGACAGATCATCTTGCCGGAACTCTGAGCATCCTATCCTTTACACAAAACTCTCCTCTTGGATCTCATCTTGTAGGACTTAAGAGATATTATAAAAAGGGCTATATGTTCGGGCAACTAGGTACACAAAAACTCTATGATACCTTATTCAGCACACACACACACACATTTTTGTATGATAAACATAAATGTAATTAAAAATGATGTTATAAGCACGTAGAGTTAAAATGTGGATGGTATCACAAAACTTCTTAAAAAATATCATTAACTAAGTGAATTAATATTAAGATTTTAAAAATTTCAGGTCAAATGTTGTCTGAAAAAAAATATATTAAAAGTACGATAATGAAATCAGTAAAGAAGGCGAAGATGAAGTGGAATGAATTCAGATGGTAAAATAAAAATAGATTTTTTTAAAAAAAGAAGAACATAACTATGATCAAAGTGAAGCCTTTCTCCGTTATATATATATATATATATATATATATATATATATAGCCAACCCACCCACCCCCCATTTTTTATTATTCCTGTCATTAATAGATATTGTTATCACTATTTCTACTTAATTTTACATTCATATCCTTATCAGTGTAAATGACCTGTATAATTGATATAAGTATAAAACTTGGGCACTGTGGTGGTAGAGTATAACTCCATTATAGATAAGATTTTATTTTGATAAAATCACACAGTGTTGTTATACAGTAATATTAACTGATGACCACGTTTTGAGCACAAATTATTACTGCTCATAATCATATCAAGTCACTCACACAACTTTTTCCTTCATTTATATACATGTTTGTGTGTGTGTGTGTCATTTACTCCATAATGGAGTAAGTGACCTGTTTGTTGTTTCCTCGGATTGATACCAGTTAGACAACCATTGGAAACCATAGAGTACTGGACAGCTGTTTCGTCCTAGTCCGGGACTCAGTGACAGCATGCACCCACCGGGGGTTCGGGTGTACTACCTTCCGGTTGCAAGGCAGGCTCGTAGACCATTCAGCCACTGCGACCTGACTCACTTGCCCGTGAATTCTAACTTCTACCAGTTCTCATTTTAGCGCGAGTGGTGCCACTTAGTATCATCCGTGACAAGTGTTTGTCCTCATTCCCGATCGTGTAGACATTGGGTTCGAACCTTTTTTAGAAGCTTGGCATTCAAACTTGGCACACACACAAAGCAGCCAATGACGTCCAAGGTCACCAGGAGAGATGATTAATAAACTACTCGTGGAGAAATCTAAAAGCTCACTTCAATTGAAATTGAAGTATGCGCTGAAAAAGTCGCCTAGTAGGGTGATGAAAGCTTCACAAATAAACTATCCAGCTGAGAGAACACAGGCACATCAAAATCATCCACCTGAGCTACAACACTTCTCTATCATACTACCCAGTTTTCAATGCTTCTTTCACTGAAATCAATCCGTGATCAGACCTGAAATAAATCAAATCCCTACAAACACTAACTCCTGAAAATTACTCCTCTTCTCCTCCTACGTAAGGTAAAGAGTAAATTAGATGCAATATTGTATTACATACTGAATATTCTACACTGTATCGAAAGGCCGATAGGGCTCCCCATCGCAACACAATCGATTTGTTTGTATGCCTTTCCTTGGAAGGTGAATCTGTATACATCAAGATAATGTCCCTGATGTAAGTGACAGGAATAAGTAAGTTTATCCCATTGCTTGTGATGTAATAGCAAATGAAATCAACAATTTCATGAAGAGGAACATTGGTTAATAAAGGCTCTATGTCGTCGATTGAGCACATACCCTTTTCCCTAATGTTCAGGGTGTCTAGCCTATTGGTCAGATCGAATGAACTCTTTACAGAATGTTTTGATAATGAGTCTCTTACAGACGTAAGGACCTCTGTAATTCATTTTGCGATTTTTTTTCATGATATGAAGAATTCGACATATCTAAGATTGGTCTGAGTGGGTGGTTCCCAGTTTTGTAAATCTTTGGAAGGCCATACAGCCAGGGAGTGTGTGATTCAACAGCTTCAAGTTGTGTATAGAGTTTTTCATTTATAAAACCATGCGCATCAGTAAAATCTGAAGCTGACGATTGATCTGCTTTTCCACAAGCAGCACGTTATTAGTAGTATTATCCACCAGAAATTTCAACTTTTCTTTGAGGATTTCATTCATTTTATTTTGATAATCCGATTTATTCATGATGACAACGCCTTCTCCTTTATCAGGTTTAAGGATAATAAGATTATCTTTATCGATTAATTAATTCCTTAATTGAGGAGTGATGTTCTTTTCATAAACCATTTTCCTGGTGTATTCTGGCATTCAGAAGTTGGTGAGAAATGTCCTCCAGTTTAACTTTAAACCAGTCTAGGTTATCTTTACTAGAGGGAGTTGAATCAGAGTTTTATTCATAGAGGTTTTCATAGTGTGATTGGACTTCCATTTTGTTTATTTTCATAGGGATAGTTTTGTATTTCAACCCGTACGATTATGCTTCCAACTGTAGTTGGGATAGAGTGATTAATCACATATATCCTAAACTATGTGCACAAAAAGCACAAAAGCACCCCTACTATGGACTACTTGACCTATTTTAAATATGATTGGTTTGGTCATCAGTGTGTACTTTTGTTTTATGTAACTGAGTACTTGTCATGCACTTTATTTTATTTTATTATTGTTAACCATGTTAGTTGTAAAGCTGTTGTAAAGAAACTACGAAATGAAGACATCATCTCGCGAAATTTGTCTTCGAAATGTCTTATTCAAATTTATCGAAGGGATTAATTGCTTTAATATATATATATATATATATATATATATGAAGGCAATATTAGAGGAGATGGATTGGACACTCGCTGAGGAGGCCGCTGGGTGACATCGCGCGTCAGGCCATCACTCGAGTGGAACCCGAAAGGGAAGCGGCGAGTGGTTCGTCGGTGCAAGGGTGACATGGAGGAGATCGTGTGAGGAGGAGATGAAACAGTATGGAATAACATGGACGCAAGTGAGAAGTACAGCACAAGACAGAAGCAAGTGGAGGCGTGCAGTTGAAGCCCTATGTTCCACTAGGAACCCAAGGGAACAACAATAATAATATAATAAACTGTCATGTCTTACTTGCAAAGCAGATGGATTATATAAGGTGTCCGTATCATTGAGGGCAGGATCACCTGACAACCATAACAATTCTTCAACTATTTGGAAAACAGCACCTTGCCAAAATGAATAGCAACTGTCCACCAGTTTGTTTGTCCTACCCTTCAGAGAAAAACCAAAACAAAACAAAAAAATCAGAGGGGGGGGAGTGGTGTTGATTATATATGCTTGCATTGAACAAGATTTGAGGAGAATAATAATAGTAAGCATGGTTGTAATCATATAATTAACTTTTATTCAAAGTGGATATCGTGTAGGCAGTCGTCAAAATACCTCTCAGTGTATTGGGTGCTTAACTCTTTTTGAACTAGGTATTTGAATTTAACAACTCAAGATAATACTGTCTACTTCGTTTCGTTTTCATACCAAAAAAATGGCTTATAGTTTGAAACATGGTTGGCGGCGCTGCACTCCGTAGAGCTGAAGCAGTTTCCAAATTACTTCACCGGTCGACGCTGTTGAAGGCATTTTTAAACTCGATGACGATAAGGTAGAGGGAGGTGATTGACATTGTCTGCTCTGTGTCAGTGGTGTTGCGTAACGTCATAATGTGATTGTCACATGATTTGCTCTTCCTGAAACCAGCTTATTCCAGACTGAATTTTGCGTCCACAGTCAGTAGATACCTTTTTTTTCTTCTGAAACTTCTGCAATAGTATCGTATGTCTATTTTCAGTGCTTTCTGAGAGTTCAGTTACTGCATGGTCCTCAGGACTTCTGCTTTTGACGGAGGGTTGGTGTTCACTAGCATTTCTATGCCTATTGGTGGTATTTCTGCAAGGAGTTGTAGCCGATGGTCAATTCAAGAGTCGTTTGAGGTGATCAACGTGACATTCCCCCTATTCCACGCCTTTAGAAGTAATGCGCTTTCATTCACTATCCTTCATTGGTTTTATCTGTGTTGATCTCGTCCCGAATAGAGAACTGGTGATCTCATAAAATGTCCTAAGATCTCCTTTTAATTGAAGTCTGTTTTGCTTCACTTGTCAGTGGTGTTGTTGAAAAGTCTTTGCTCTCACCGGCAATCTTCACCATTCATTTGTTGAGCCCACTGTAGATTGTATTCATTCTTCGTCTTCTGTTTCACAGTCCCTCTCTCAGCTTTCGGATACCCCTACACAGATATTATTTGTTCTGCCTCTTCTTCTTGAATAAGATATCTTTACAAGTTTTTTTCCATGAAGCTTTTAGAGTATATGTTTAAAACTTGGGCACTGTGGTAGTAAGTAATTCCATATTAGTTTGTTTATTTGATATATCACACAGTGAAACAGTATTATTTACTGGATGACGTTTCGAACAGAATTCACTTATTGTTCATAATCATATCAATTGTAATCACACGACTTTGAGACTTGAGTTTTATAGTTTTTTTGTTCTCCCCTTTTTGTCGTCTGTGGGGTAGTAGAATTTTCCAGATATCTGGGATAGGTGATGAATCATTCCTATTACATGTATTTGCAGTTGATTCGATAAACAAAGCTTCTGTGATCAATTTCTCCCTATACCCTGTGACATTAGATTTTAAAACTGTCATCCTATCCCATCCTATTGTATGGTTGTGTGTGATTGCATGTAGTACTATAGCCGAACTATTCTCTAGATTTCTTATCTTATTTGGGTCAACCTATCTAGATTTCGCTAGGTTTTTATGTTCAGCTAGTCTGACTGCCCCTGGTCTACTAGTTTGACCTATGTATTTCACCTGACAATCATTCCAGCAGGGTATTAGATAAACCTAATTGTTTTGTTTTAAAGGCTCCACAGGCAGGATCCTTTAACCGACAAAGCTTGTTTCTAATTGAGTTTGTAGGTTTGAATGCCACTTTTATTCCTGCCTTGTTACGACTTCTGCGTAAAACCTCCGAGGTTCCTTCCTTGTGTGGAATTACTACTGATGATATAGATTCCTTATTGTTGGTGTCGTCATTAATTTTAGTCATAAGTAAAAACAGTTTTCGGTCCAGTGAAGAAATTTCTTTTTGACGACTTCATTTTCAAGCTGTACAGTCGTATTTATATTACAGAAATTACATTTTATTTTTAAAACATTTCTGATTTCAATTCACTTATAAAACAATCTTTAATAATTTTGTAATTTATCCACTTCAACTCTACCCCTTGTAACATTTTAATTATTCTTATTCTTATCACATATATGTATATTAACTGAGCAATTATTCAGTGCCACTTAATAACCTTTTCTGTAATATAAATACGACTGTACAGCTTGAAAATGAAGTCGTTGAAAAGAAATTTCTTCGCTGAACAAAAAACTGTGTTTTTACTTATGAATAAATGGGTATTTTTCGTGATTAATTTTATTATTATTATTATCATCATTATTATTGTTATTATCACTATCGCTATCATTATTTATTTTATTTTTACATTTCCTTACATATTTCCCGACTAATTTATCAGGGTTTATTTTATGTGTATCAATTCCTGTCTTAGATTTTCCTTGGTACTACTTAGTGTTTGTGCTCTGTCATTTAAACATTTCACCAATCCTAATTTTACTGACATAGGATGGGACGATCGGAAGTCCAAATATCTGTTTGAGTGTGTGGGTTTCCTGTAAACACTAGTGTTTAACTGCCTATCTTCTTTCCTTTTTACGTTGCAATCTAACATTGGAAGCTCCCTTTCCTGATTTTCCAATTCATAAGTGAATTGAATTGCTTCAACCTTCGAGTTAATGTGTTCGAAAAATCTATCTATATCTTGTGTTCTAAGTACAGTGAATGTGTCATCTACATACCTCCACCATACTTTCGGGGTGGGGATGAACGTTTCAGTCGCTATGCTTTCCCACCTACCCATGAATATATCTGCTACAACTGGGGATATTGGTGATACCATGGCAACTCCTTCAGTTTGTTTAGAGGGAGAGAGAGATTTCCAATGTTCTCCCATACAGGTTTCCTCAGTGATGTTGATTGACGCCCCAGGCATTTCCCCGATGACTGCAGTGAATGTGTGTCCTTTTTCCTTCAGCTTTTGAGTGTTCAATTTGTATTATGGTCCATCATCAGCTTCTTCGAAGACTTTTAACTTGATCGTGAGGATTCCTTGCAGTTGACAGTAGCCTAAACTTAAATCTGCTCTACTTTGTGTCCAGTAGGCTGAGTGTCGCCTTTCTTCGGTAGATTACTGATTATGCGGTTAATAATATGAAGAGTCTACATCCATTTCATCTCTTCTCATAGAACCCAAGCACTTCGATGTCATATTTTCTCACACGTTCGGCGATCTGAGCAGCCATGCCAGCTCAGTGAGCATCATTCGGATACATCATGTCTTTATGCCTGCTTTCACTTTCATCGGAAGAAACCACATCGACTGACTGGCTTCTGCCAGCCAGCTTTATTCCGTCCCCGTGATCCCAGAGAACAATGAGCTTTTTCCCCGTATTTCTCTGTGCCTTAAAGTTCCTATAGCAATTTGGTTGATTTCCCAGGGGAGCCATACCTCATACCTTTCCTCTGTTCCCAAGCTGGTAGACTAGGCAAGGTTAATAGCATCATTGCATTACTACTGATACCAATAATAATAATAAATTAAACATAAGAAAAATCTACCTGGAAACCACCTTCAGTCGCCATCTGCCGATGACTCGCCCAACGCAACAGTCTGGGTAAATTGATTAGATCGGATCTACCCAAGAAACACAATGCCGCTATAGCACAGAAAGTGTAACCACCATGGGCCTCCAATCCCGGTTGACCACCGAAACCACCTTCATAGGTCTAATAAAGGAAATGATTGACAAGATGCTGAATTATCCATTGCATAGTGGTAAAACGAGAATACATTTGAGTAAAAATACACTTTGTGGAATCTAAGGCTCCAGCTAAAAAAACAACCATTCGTCAAAACTTTTACAAAGCTAGAAGAACATATTCTGCTGACAAATTGGCGGGGAAGAGTCTGTGGCTGTTGAGATATTGAAAAATGCCTGTTATCTTCGAAAAATAATTAACGGGCATAGAAGATGTGAAGATGCAAATGTGAAACAAATCACAGTGAAAAAGAAGCCTATTTTTTCATACAACTCGATTCCAAAGGTGACAATACTTCAGTAACAGTCAACAGAAGACTGAATGCTTCACTAGTCAGAAGTTATCCTGCAGCTATTTGGTACAATCAAAGAACAATAGATAGCCTAATAATAATCACTATGTTCCAAACAATAATAATTATACAGAATGCAATTTTCAGCACTTTTATACCTATTGCGACAATTTAGCTCCATTTACAAATGTGTAGATACATAAAATTTTCAACAAATCAATAATAAAACCTCAAGAGGGTGAAGGTTAGAGGAAACATAATGAATTGTAAGTAGATAATATCATAGATAATACATGCGATAATAATAATCTTTGCTCATACTCTACAGTTCAGTTACTGATTTAAAAACTTTATAAGTTCTTTTCTGATATCTGACTCTCTCTCTTCACACAAAACTCGTGCTAAATATGGTATGGTAGAGTTTACACGCATCTGTCGTATCAATTACATTGGGAGAAGAGAAAGAAGGGCGCATCTTATATTTTTTGAACATAAACTAAAAAGCCTACAATCCTGTTGCCGGGTGTGTCAGCAAAATGGGTCATGAAGAGGACAGCGCGAAGTTCGTTTAAGTTACCAACAGATAGTACAGTTCAATTCTCCTCAGATTTGCCTAAGCAACTGCCATAAAATGTTTAAAACCAGATTTATGCGTTCAGAAAGAAGCAGTTGTCACTCTTTTCTTGCCCCGGTAGCTTGATTTCTTAACTTTTTACTCTCATCCGATTACGCAATCTCTTTTTCTTTAACCTCTCACTTTTTCGTAGGTTACATTTCTGAGTATCCTCTTTTTGTTTCTATGATTTGCGCTGAACTAAACACACTGTTATGCAACTTATTATTAGTTTACTTCACATCTCATCCATCTCCTGTTCCTATTTCGCAACTCTTTTCCCATTGTATTCAAACACTTATTTTGATTGTTTGTTTACTTGTTTAACCTAGAACCTTCACTGCATAATTCATACGTGTAATTTCTGAGCACTGTTCATTAACTTCAGAGTCTCCTGTTAACTAACATCATGCCATCTTTCGAAGCACGTTGAAAAGGCCTTTTACAGAAATATAATTAATTATTTCAGGTTGTACGCAGATGATGAGGAGCCGACGAAACAAACGATAGTACCGTTGTTTTTCCTACATTGAAATTCCATAAAGGGGAATACATCTACGAAATTTTTTTTAATTATTTAATTGACGCTAGCAAGATGGTTAGTTAAGGGAAAAATTAAGTAATTGAAATACACATACTAGTACACAATAGGGTGGGATAGAGCTACGTTTCTAAAAAGTAATACGGGTAGGTGAAGAGAGAGGTTTATGTCCATGCAATCTAAACTTAACACAACAGGTATGATCCAACGCCAATACGTAAAATATTACTACAAATAAAATCAAAAGGAATAAGAAATAGTATAAAGTGTGAAAGTTATGTGAATGCCTTGATATAATTTTTAATTATAATTATAAGTTGCCCTCCGAGACGTCATCACTGTATTAACTTTTATTCTGTGATGGAAATTCATGAAGGCTTCCAAAACTAATATATCCAAAAGGGATTAAGTACAAATTTTTGTTTTATAAAGAATACTGTGTTCAGCCTGCAGTTAACATCAACCAAAATGTTAGGCGTTAAAACCAACCTGACAACTAGCCACCCATTCCGCGGTTGATTCGAACAAATCAGGATATTTTCTGAGAAGTCCTGTCAGTCTAGCCACTGTTATAGCACAATATGCACCTCGAACATCGATCTCTCCGCCTACATGCATTAAGAAAGAACCATTTGGCTGGCGCAGTTTCCGCATCCAGTTAGCCAGAGCATCTCGATTGATAATATCTAGAGCATCTCGACGACGAAGTGATACTAAACAGTTGACTGCACCATATGATGTTGCAAGGTGTGGAAACTGATAACGTCCGCCGCCGAAGCCACCATTTGGGTCCTGTACGAGGAAATAAATGAGTTTAGTCAAAAATGACATTGGTGTTAACATCTAAAATGATCATTTATATATAGTTCATATTTCACCTAATCTGAATTTCAACCGATGGGTGAACAGGAGAACTACTAACAGTTATTTATTAGTATCATAACCTTTACTTCTTTTATCAAATTCATATAGCCTTCTAACACATGTTTCAGTGAACTTGATATAGCAGCTTGAGCAGATTAGAACTAGTCATAAAACCACATTTTTCAGGTGGGTAAAATGCCTAAACGCAGATGAACCTTGCATAAAATATTATGTACAACCCAAATTTTGTCAAGTAATCATTGTTGTTCGGGTTAGCACTTGGTTTAGGCATAGAAGCGCCAACATACAGTTGGAATTGATTATAATAGAGGTTGTCATGAAGTGTTAACGATATCAACTAAAAATAGCTAGACATGAGATTAAAGAACACTGTTAGTAATGGGGATTGATAGAATGAGTAGATGATAAGACAATTTTTGCGTGCTACCAGAAACATGGAGGTGACTGAAAATCCCCAGCTCTTCAGTTCACCTGAAATCACTTTTTTCTTTAAGAATTTGGAAGAGAAGGATAATGACTGTTACCTGATCACTGAGTCTGACAGTCGGACGAGACAAACACGAACTGTTTTGATGTATCAGTAAATGTGTCAGACTAACACTAGTTCACAGAAGATATGACCTGCGTGTGTAGTTACCAAGTGCTTGTAATGCAACAGTATTTTCCTACATTAACTCAATGTTCACATTAATCAGTCGGGATGACCAAATTCGGTGAAAGATTTCAGTAGACCAACAGAAGCCTTATTTCATCTATGTAAATGACTACTAGCTCAAACCAAGTCGGAATTAACTTACTTCTTTGGAATATAAGACATCATAACAATGGGGCTAAAGGAATAGTGTATATGCCTTCACTACTGAAGAACGAATATCAAATATAAACAAAGCATACTTCTGTTTAACAACCTAGAAGGCTTAGTTTACATATTATTGACAAACAAACAATACGATTCAGTTCACCGGCCACAACTAAGGTGCAGTAAGGAGTTCTAACGATAGGTTAAAAAAAAGGCAAACATACGCCTTAATAAAGTGATTTCAAGGTGAACAATTATTGTGAAGCACTACCAACTGCAATACACTAGTTAACCAACTGGTATATTACATTTGACAATTTCTTCAGAAACTGGAAAGCCGAGACTTCTTACATGAGTATGGCAATTATTTTTTAATGCTTTCATTAAAAGCGGCTTTATACGCATTGCTTTTCCAAGGAGTTTTACCGGATCATATCGCATAGTAATTAGCAAGTAGAGTCTATTTAAAAACACTGAGTAAAAATTATGAAATGCGCCATTAATCTGTGGAATACGGAAACTTTAGACTTAATTCCAATCATCAATAATAGTTCACAGGCCTCAAAAATAACTATAGTTCTTAAACTGGGTAAAATACAAACCTGGTTTCTAGAGAAATTTCTGAAAATAACAAGTGATAAATACCTGCATATCTGCAATTAGTGATATCAATTTCAGAGACATGTCTTCCGGAATCTCGACGTTCAACAGGCCTAAACCATGTACCATCCAATACGCCAGCCAGGACTGACTTGCATCCAGATTCTCGAAACTAGAGGGCAGATTATAAAGTCTCTTGTAGAGGTAGTTAACATGATTCAGTTTGAACAGTCGAAGTGCGTCGTCTTTCCACTGACAAAGTTTCTCGTAGTACGCCTTCCGAACAATACTTTCTGTATCCATCTGATCAATGATAGTCTTCGTCTCCGGTTCATTACTCCTATCCGCTTGCCGTAAGTGAAATAATGTTAGACGTTCCATAATGTTGCAATATTTAGGTATGCGGTGTAATGTTACTGGCACCAGAAAGTGTGAATTAATATGGCTTTAGACATCAAATCCATACAGAAGAGCCTGGAAAGTAAATCAAACATAATACACACTAAACAATAAAGTAGTGGACACAAAATCTAAGTGACGGTAAACAACACGCACATGCTTCACCTATAAAAGTGAATGAATTAAAGCCGGCAGATGTAAACTATCACAGTCAAAGTCAAGATCTGTCAACAGCTAACCTAGAAGGGACAATCAGATTCAAGGAATGCCATGGAAGGTCATTTCAAATCAAACCATGTGTGTCTCTCTTGATTTGGTGAGGGTAAATACAGTATTATACTCGTCCACTGGGAACTTCCATGTAGATCTATACTCTTATGCTTTTCTAAGATTAAGGTTACCGTCTGGGGTTAAGGTAAGGATTAGATTTAAAGTTAGGGTTAAGATTACAGATAGAGTTAGGGGGAGGTTGAAGAACCATGTCAAAAATATCAATGGATTTCGGCAAGAGTAAACAATAGACACCAAAGTCAAATGACAAAACCATTCAGATTCTTCTAGGCGAAAAGTTGAACTCAATTTACAAGGAAGTGTACCTTAAGATATATATGTAATTAAAATGAATCATATAGGGTATATATCTCTAATATGCTGCAAAAACTGGTCCTAGGTTCTTATAGAAGTGGTTATAGACATATCAAACCAATGTATTCTCTATTTCTCCATCTGTAGCAGATACTGGTCGCATATACGCAATATTACTAAGGAAGAGCTTTGATTTCGAGGTGTCTGAAAAAATCACCAATTATGTACGACTTATCAACAATTACAGACTTCTTCATGTGAAGTGGTTGCATCTGCATGTATAACCATCAAGTCAAAGTCATTTGACTTAGGTGTTTATTGCTTACTCTTGCCTGGATTTCAAAGTACTATGATATGTCTATCGAGCATGGTATGAATTCTTTATTAACTATGCGTGTAGCGACTAGAAATCATTGCAACACATAAGTGGCAGTTAACTAGCATAATATAACAATTTCAGTATTTCTTAATGCATTTTCCAACGACTAGGGGGGGGGGGGGGCATTTAGTGTCTGAACACTGGATGATCGTTCGATGTCACTGTGATTTTAGTTGTAATAGTTCAACTTCGGCCTAAATCTTTTCGAATATTTCGGGAAATCAATTACTGTCGGTGAAAAATAATACAGCATCGAATCAATAGATTCCATTGTAGTTAAAAGGAAGTTTATCAGTGTTTCTCTAGTTATACAGGATAGCAGGCTTGAAGTAATCGTGTTAATCACTTCAAATAGCTAATTAAGGTGATTTAGGTAACATCTACCTTGATAGTGTACTGTCGTAACAGGAAAGTAATCGTCAAGCCTCGTTCACATGAGGTTCTGGAAGAGACCTTGAAAAACCGTAATTCCCACGCAACCTCTAATATCCAATATATCCAATATCGTTTTTACGAGCTAGTATAAACCAATTTGATTTCTCTGTGCTAGCCTCTTTATTGTGAGGTAGAGGTTCCTGATCTTCGGTAAACGTCTGCGTAGCTCATCCCGCCACTCGAATGCCGTAGCTTTGGTTGACTCCAAAAGGAGTAGTGCAGGGATTAATTATATGTGGTTTGTAGTATGAGGTGTGTTAAGACTGTTACTACTGTGAATAGAGTTGATCCTTTCACCAGTTGGTCCTTCGGTATCGTCGTAAATAGAAAAGGGATAATAATAATAGATATAATTAGTGAAGGTATTCAGACTAACAGACAGAGAAAGAATAAGAAAACGTAACAACAGTCAGCTGATTAAATTTGAAGAATAATATGAATAATATATATACCAGTAATAATGATAATAATAGGTTTAGTTAAAGCTGTCAGGAGAGTAAGACGTAAGAGAATGTAAAGAAGTAAAACGACCAGTTTAATTGTCTACCTTTGAATGGTGCATGCGATTTTAAGGGGATAGGCCATTTGGATGAAGTCCTTGTGTCGCTGCATGGTTCAATGCAATAGATTTCTAACAATATTCGGACTTCGCATTAAGACTTCAGATTTCTTGGTAGAAGATAGAGGACTTGAAGCCTATGTTAATCCTTTTCTAGTAAGTTTCTATGCTTGTCCAAACCCTTCTTGAATGAATCAGTTGAGGTTGCAGACATCACTTCTTCTGTGAGTCAGTTCTAAAGGCTGACGGTATCGACGCTCGCGAATTGCACGGAGTATACTGACACAAGATCTTATACCAACAACTTCTATAGTATTCGTTTCTTGTGTACCAAAGACAAAGAAAAAGCCAAGATTGATCGTCCAAAGTACGAGATATATTTCGGGACCAAATCGCGGGATGAAGTGAATGTTTAGCTGGCTAGTGATCGTGCACGCACGTGACACGACAGAGTACCAAATGGGATGGATGCTTGACCGGAAGCCTTCAGCTAAACAAGTCGACTTAAACAGTGGGGGTCCGCATCCCATGTTCAGTGATGATTGCTGTGGTCAATAATTTTGGGGAACTATTTACCGCTACAGTTCCAAGAGTTTATGACTCGGTATATGAACCAGTACTCGACAAAAATATGATTTATTCTTGGCTTTTGAGCTCTACTGCTATGTTCTCTAAGGTGTTCGGACCTGGTGGGAGGGAAAAGAGAGGATAGATCGGGTCCGTAGTCACTATTTAAAATTTTAAACATTGTGATTCAATCCTCTCTCCGCCTACGGTATGACAGGCAGAAAAAATGCAAGCTATCCTCGTATTGTAATCTAGTCATGCCGAGAATCATACGTGTGGACCTCCTTTGGGCCCTTTCTATAATATGTGAGTCCCCTTCAAGACAGGGATTGGCTGCCTGGATACAGTTTTCTAGTCTTGACCTCACCAGAGATGTATATAAGGAGGCGAACGTATCTCTAGTGATTCTAGTAAGGTCACCGCGAATTGCCCATGAGGATGTAAACATGCGTGCAGCCACCGCGCGACAGCGTGCTGTAGTTTTTAAGTTGTGACTTACTATGACACCTAAATCCTAATGAGTCTGAATTGATGGGAGTTTTATTCCCTCTAGCTGGTAGGAGCTGGTGCTTGCATGCCGGATGCGCATGGTTGCACATTTGGCCAGATTGATCGGGAGCATCCATTCTATGGACCACTCTGATCATTTGTTGAGGTCCTCTTGCAACGTGGACGTATCACTGTTGCCCTTTAGCTCCCTCCAAATTTTTAAGTTTTCTGCGTATAGGACCATAAGGGAATCGGTGAGCAGGTATGACTCATTGATATGCAAAATAAATATCTTATGTAAACTTAAAACAAAATTTTCAAAACAATGGAAAATGAAACTTGTAATGTAGTAGGTAGAGAAATTAGTTAAAATATCAGGAAAATAATTGAATGAAATGTTGTAATATTTATAATATTCAGATCACGGAGAATAGGCAATTGTAAATTGTGAGCTTAGATTTACATTCATTAATAGTGTGGTTAGGGTTTATTGACTTTACACAGTCTTCATGTCACTCCACGATTATCAGAATTCGCTCAAAGCTTTTCACTGACCGTGCAGTAGTCACGGTAGCCAGTGAAGAATTCCAGCGGCGGAAAACCTGGAGAGAAGAGAAATGGTCCACCACTCAGTCTTAGCTCTCTGAAGCCCTCTGAGGAAGCTTACAATGGTTGAGTGGCGGAATACATTTGTTTGGTCGGCTCTGGTCACTTGTAATATCGTAGGTGGTAATTAAGTAACCCCTAAGCCAACATTAGCTAGATACGAACGGGCCTCAAAAGGATATGTAACTGGCCCAATGCCTGCTGACTACCATTCAGCTCTGAAAATTGTGGGATCCTATACTTCAGTAACTATAACTCTGACCGCATGATCTTTTCCTCCAAACCCAAAACCAAACAAAAGACTTGAGCTTTACTCACTTACGAAACTTAACATATAGTCGGTATTCATAATTGGTTGTCTCTAAGTGCCGAGGACTCACTGGCTTTTTATACCAAAAAGTGTATACAACCGAGGCTAAAGTCCTCTCATACGAAGTCATGTTTCGGCCAGTATTCCAGTATAGCACAAGTATCTCCGTTCTTATAAACAGATATGATAGGGTTCTTATTAAAAATATTCAGCAAGGCTTTACACGGTGCCTATTACACATATAAGGACTTGACTTTCGGTGATATGAATTTGAGCCACTCTTATCAGAGCCCTCAAAGCTCAACATAACTTTCGTGTTCAGCCTCTTATACAGCAACGTTGAAAGCAGCAGCTCATGGCTTTCAACGATACGGTCAAGTGTATTGTAGAATGGACTTCCACTTTCTGCTCGTGCTTACCAATGTCCTACTGAATTCCAACGCCTCTTGTGTGAATTCCCACCAATAGATGTCCTTCGATCTAATTACCGACGCTTCATTTACATCGGCCATTTAATCAGTATTGGTACAGTATGTGGTCAGAGGAGTTCTTTAAATCAGTTGAACCTCAGCCGTTTGACCTTCAGCAATCAACCTGTTTGTCTGCAGGGACTGGAACAAGTGGTTAATTGGATCTTCAAGGGACAAGGGCTTGCCAGCCGAGTTTTGGTGTGACTGTATCTCCATACTCCTTTCACATTACCGTCAGCAAATGCACCTTTGAACAGGCGTAAGTGTTATATTCTGACTTCACTAGCCGCGGCGGTGCTAAGAACGGCCTGGCGACCAGTTTAGGTGGTCCATGCTAAAAAGTCGACGGGTAGTGTGGTCGAAGCTCAAGTCTAGCAGGCTGACCACACAGAATTCATGGATGTTTTTTCTAGTTGAAGCAAAGGGGGTCAGCTCAAATCCGTCCAAGCAGCATAAATAACCGACCAGAAACCCTAGTGCAACACCCCGCACACTCAGAAATTGATTCACCCTAGTTGTCGTACCACACATAAAGATATGTGACAAACTTCTTCCCGTTTCATGTCAGTACTTAACCTCAAG